AGCCGAATGAATTCTGTTTTTATATATTATATATATATTACATAATATATTATATATATTAATATATTATAAATATATGTCTATCTTTGAGTAGACACCCTGATTTACTGTTTTACCCTGTATATGAATTTCTAATCGCGAATAAAACAAACGGTTAAACGTTTTGCTTAGTCGGTTGAAAACGTCGAGAATCCTGCTGTTTCTTCGATCATCGATCACACCGAGCATTATGACGATACTCACGAGGGTCTCTCGACGCACGACGTCGACGACGCACAAGAGATGATGGACGATGCATTTGACTTGGACGAGGATGAGAAGAGGATCGTAGGAGAAGCGGAAGCGATCGAGGAGACGGCTTCGGACGAGTTCGAGAGCCCGTCGAAGGAGAGCTACCCACGGCTCGACGAAGCAGAAGGCTCAGTCTGCCAGATGCCACCGTCGCCCGACCCGTTGAAAGAGTTCCTGAAGAGAATGCGAGCGGAGGTGGAGGCGGGTCGTCTGGAAACAATCTTCCGGGTATCTGGAATCGGTCCGCCGATATCGACCGAACGTGTAACGGCTGTTGGAATCTGGTTGGCAGACTGTGCTCGTCGTCAGGAGGGTCTAATCGGGCCGCGAAATATCCGTCACTTTCTCTGCCCGAATCTCGATGACATTTCCGAGTGCGTTTGCACGTAAATATAAATGCAATATAAGTGCATTTTGCTTCTGTCAATGGTAAAACGGTTTTTAGTCCACGAAAAAAAATTTTGACACATTCATATACTTATTTAATATTTACCGATGCTACCAGGATTTAATTTGTGAGGGAAAAAGATTCGAAAGCTTTATGAAATATTATACTTTATGGTCATTGAATAATCGCTAAATCTTTATTATTCTAGTGTACATAAATGCAATTATTGCAATTGCATATCGAAGAAGTAATAAATTAATTTTGGTAAATTAATTCTTTACACAGATCTGCAATGATTACATGTGCGAATTTACTTGCATTCTATTGTATTCTATGATCATTCAATGTCATGATATTGTATAATTGCTTTCGATTTATAATCATATTCGGTTGCAATTGGAACGTTATAATTTAACGTGACACGTGGAATAATATCTGTTTTATATTTGACAATTGTCATTATTGTAAACAAATAAATATAATTTTCTGGGGATAAGCTCGAAGAATTCAAACGATATTTTTTGAATCGATGTTAACTTCCAGTGTTCACGACTTTCAGGGCTTAGATACTTATTTCATCTCACGTAGACGAGGAAAGTACATAAGTACTCCGCGAGCAAGAAGTGCACATAAAAATTTATCTCCTCCATCCAACAGCGGAAGTGATCGATATTCTTCGAGAGCACGTGTTTGTCGTTTTCCGTAACTGCCTATTCCATTGTGCGTTTTGTCGATTCGCCGGCTACACCGCATCGACAACAACTCGGTAATCGATTATTGGTCGGGTTATTATTGGTATCACGGTTGCACAATATTGACGTATGCCGGTCAGCTCCAGGGTTCATAGCCAGCTCGTCCACCCGCGCCCTACTCCCCTTCTCGATGGGATCTACTTTGATACCGTCTATCACAATCCGTTATTGGAACAAACAGTGTACGCGACGTTGAAGCGCGCGCATTATTGAATATGCCACATTTACTTTAAGAGGGATGTGAATGAAGATCGACACTCTCTCGCGTTTCGATCATGGGAAAAGAATCCAAGTCGCGGCTTTTCTAGACAAAGGATGGACTTGGCGAGCTTTACAAATGAGAGCGTCCATTCAAATCGACGCTCGAAATCGCTCGTTTCGCTCTAAAAGTTCGCGCCATTTCGAAAATCTCTATTATTCGTGCATCGCGGGGAAAAAGCGTCTCTCATTCGTGGCGAAAATTAATTTTTCAAATTTTCTTGCTGATCCAGTCGTATGAAATTCAGAGTTTCCACTGAAAATTCCTACCCGCAGTCATTCGCAGGCTTGCGGTCGGTTCTATCAGCAGTGAATAAATCCTAAATTGGTATTCGTCTCTTCGAATAACTAGATCGTGCCAGTTAATTTTTCATCCGGATATTGTAGGTCTACTAGAAAGATTATATAACTATTACTGTCAATTATCTCTCTCGTGTATTGTAAAGATAACTATTAATAATATCTAATTTCGCAGCTCGATGACATATAGACATATACCTTCTTTCTTTTTAATACAGGGTATCTATTTCCTGGAAAAATATGGAAAATTCCAAATTTTCAGGAATTTCTTTTGTGGGAAAGTCAGGGAATTTTCGTGAAATTTTATTGGGGTTCTGGAATTTTTTGAAAAATTCTCTCTTTGATAATTTTGCTCTTCTATTGTTCGCCGAGTTGTAAATTATGTGTTTAAAATATAGTACAAATATATATCTATCTCGATTTATATATCCAATATTTTTTAAAAAAATATTAAATATACAGTACATACTTTTTATTTTACTTTTTTAGTGATAAAAAATGAAAATCCTATGTAAGTGAAAAATATTTATCTTACGAAAACTATTCGATCTTTTTTCAGCGTATTCCTAAATTTAGTACTTGAAACATAAGTAGGTTTGTATTTTCCCTTCGTATAAATGAAAAATATTAGAAACTGCATACAATAAAAAAAACTTATTTTAGGAAGTTGCATACATTAAAATATTCTCTGTGGAATTTTGAACAAAAATTTCTCGAAGATCAGAAAATTTTTTTACAAGTTTTGAGTTAATTCATCTCTGTCTTTCGAAAAAACTCGATTCAGTTTTTCATCGCGTTAAATTAGCCCGGAAGCCGGGCACGTCTTCTTTTCGATATCGCGTCGCGTCACGTCGCATCTGTTACGATAATCAACGGGGACCCTCGATAACTCTCATTTCGAAAACCCCCTTCAATGGCGTTATCTCGACGCAGATTAATTCCGTCGCAGGAAACGCAAACGTTATCCGACGCATTAGTCGCCTCTTTCGTACGCCGGGCGTAATTCGCGCGATTAGATGGCTTAGAAACGAAATGGAGCGCAGGGACAGTGGTCCTCTTTATATGCATATATAAGGGGGGCTTTTTCTACCTTCGCTAAAACGACAGTAGAATTCCGTCGCAATGACTTTAACCGTCACATTGCTATTCGTGCTTTTGTTATTCTCTTTGGCCCGGAATGTCCATGGATGGCACATCGCGTTTCCAAACGAGAGCGAGATCTTTAATAATGATCTCCGCGAAACAACGTCTCAGCCAGCTTTTATATTTCCAGGTAGGATTTAAAATGACATATTCTTATGTGCGACAGTCATTATAATGTAGTGCATATAGATATATATTTTTTTTTTGAAGGGAGAAAAATATTGTTATATACACATATATATATATATATCTGATACACACACGTATATCTCTGATTCTTGCAATCAATAATTATGACATCAGGAACGAGAAATTTATGTGATAATTATTCTTACAATATATAAGTCAAGATAAAATATAATTCATACCATATATTTGTGTTTAGTAAAATAGATTTGAAAAGTCGAGATGTCTCTTCTTTTCATAAATTGTTATAAAATTGAATTAACTCTTCTAAGAAAAAAATCCTTTTTTTTTTTTTTTTGGGGAAAAATATGACATTCAAAATATCTGGCATATTTTTTCCAGTTTACTTTTCTAAGCAAATAATATTCAAAAAGATTCATTTACTT